ATATATAATACGTGCGCAATCATGTCTCAGATTAATTAGGACCTGCTTCTATTACACATTTCCAAAATACTTTTATATTTATAATCTCATGTTTAACTCTATCACAAACCTGTGAAGTAGGAAAGACAAATATTTTTGTTTCATTTAACATATTAGTAACTTAGGCAAATAGAGATTAAGTTAATGGCAGGGCCCAGATCTCTTGACTCTCATTCCTGGACTCCTACATTAAATTAAACCAGATTAGTCTTTTGGGATATGTGTGAAAGGGTACGCAATCGGATTCTTTGTGGAAAAAAGATAAATGAATAAGTTATTTAAATTACTATAGGAGTTCTAGTTCCCTTGTTGAGAATTTGCCTTTGATTCCCTCTGTGAAATGGATTAGAATGTTTTGTTAGGATTTAAGAAATATACAAACCTAGAAAAGGTACATCTCATATTCTTTTAAATGGATAATTTCTCCTGGGAATTCTTTACATTCTGAAAATTCACTTTATTATTGCATTCTAAGGTTTGTGGCTTTAAATGCCACAGCATCTGAGTCTAACTTTTATTGGTGATATTTGTGGTTATCACTTTCTGCTGTCATCCTCTCCCATTTCTTTTGTTTTCTTCCATAGATACAATTTGATTTATGAATGAGGGCATTTTGATTCTTCGAGATGTATTTTGGTGAATTGGTTCAGTAGCTTGTTATTGAAAAGCAAATCCATCAGGGACTTATTTGCCTACTTCCCCTAAAAAGAAATCTCTCTCGTTGAGTCAACTGTTTATTCATCAGTCATGCCCCATTTCTGTATGTTATGAGGACATATCTACATTTTTTATTTGTTAAATATGGCCATAGAAGTATTCAACCTGAAGAGCCAGCCTCAAGACTCCTTCTAAAATTTAAAAATTAAATAAGTGTCTTCATCCATGACATAATAATAAGCACAATGTAATTCGGATTCTGGCTACACTTGCAAGGCCCTTGGTGCAGATGCAGAATAAGTCGGCGAGCCAGACTGAAAGACGCCTAAGAATGAGAAAGGAAAGTGAGTTTGCAGATGCCCTTTTACATCACAACTTTGACGATATCTTACGTCTTAGTAGAGTCTTCTCCCTTTGTCACTCTGAGAGTTCTTGGTGAAACTTTGGGGTCATACCCTGACCCTCCCTGAGGGCTACTTATGAGGTGTCATTCAAGTCAGCTGCCCCGCCTACTATTGCAGAGGCCAGAATCTTTGGTTGCATGTAGTCTAACTTTTTGCTTTCCTATGAAGATTTTTAGTTCATTTGCATGAATGTTAAGGCTTACTGTCTCAAAAACTGGGAGTTGCAATGAAGAACTGCCTCATTCCCAACCACCTTCAACCACATGTTTATCATTGGGTATCTTTTTGTCATGTTGTGGCCATATCAGAAAGAGAAGCTGTCCTGTTCCTTCTTGACACTAACATAGAACATTCACTGAAAAAAAGGAAAAATTTTGCTTTCTGTCTGCTGTGTACATTATTCATACTCAATCATATTGTTGGACTCTTTCCTTCCATGTGGCAGACATACTCTTTACTTTTTTCCTAGAAAATATAGCTTTCATGCAGCTGTTGTTTTTTCCACCAAGGTATTTGGCATCTCTTTTCCCATCTGACTTCCTATCAAAAACATCTGGAGAGCTTTGAAAAACACAGATCTTGAGTCAATAGGTCTGGGGTGATTCTGGAATCTGTCGTCTATAAAGCTCCACTGGTGAATCTTATGCTCTGCTGGGTTCCAAAGTATGTGTGTCAGGAGTCCCCCAAGACCACCCATGGATTCACTGATTCTCTTAAAGGACTCATGGGACTCAGCATATAGTCCTACTCATAGCTGTAATATATTACAATCAACAAAGGGAGAAAGCACATAGGGCAAAGTCTGGGGGAAAGCAGGCATGAGCTTCCGGAGACCTCTCCCCCTATAGTCACCCAGGGTGTGCCCAATTCCTCTGACATGGAATTGTGGCAAATGGGTGGAATGTTCTCTACCAAGAAGCTCATTAGAGACTCAGTGTCCAGGATTTTTATTGGGGGCTGGTCGCATTGGCAATGTCTGTTTAGCACAAACCAAAATTCCAGACTCCCAGAAGGGAGGCAGGTGTTCATAAACCACAGGGTTTATACAGTTTAGGCACAGTGAGCCACTATTACCAATCAGGGAATAATGGGAACTCTCCCCAAATCCAAATCCCCACATGCCAGCTAAGGACCAACTTTGCAAACAGACCTTTTTAAAGATAACAGTCTCAGCTCTGTTATGTTAACCTTTTTCTACACAGTACGTTAGCCAAATTTCTATATTGGGTAGGAGGAGAAACTTCCAGATGAAAATGGAGATTCAGGTGATGAAATATGAAATCCTACTCCTTGAGGGTTTTAAAAAATTCGTGCCCTGAGAAGCAGGCCACAAATGCAGGGTATGGACCACCAGATTCTCCAAGTCCACTTGCCCTTGGCTCTAGTCTGGCTTAGAGAAAAAGAGATCACAGAGACATTGGATCAACATGCAGCTAGCTATTCACTCACTTTTTATGTTCTGCTCCCCTTTCTACTTTTCCAAAAGGGATTGTTTCTTTAATTTTTGGAAAGACACAATTATAAGTAATGAGACTAGATAATCAAAAAGCCTTTTTCATATCCAAGTTACCGAAAGCTGTGAGTCACATGACCCCCCCAAATCCCCAAAAAGAAACTATAATTTTAGAACTCAGCCTCGTGGGCCACCAGGAATATTCGTGGGTCACCCGGGAATATTCTTAGGCATACGTTCTTCATTAGCAGCATGTACTATGACACTTTAATTTTCTGCAGCTGTAGAGGTATCTCCCTGCATCTACAAACTCCCGAGATTACCTGGCAGAACAAAGTCATCTGCTTTCAGACCTGTTGATGGCAAAATCAAAAAAGAGAGAAGATTGTTTATTATCATGGGAAACTTCCAGATGGAGACTAGAAGTTTATCTGAGCATTTCATTATTCCAGTGCATTTCATTATTTAACTTGCACATTTTCTTCCTTCTAGACGATTAGACTTTCTTTTAAGTTCATTTCTATTTACTCTTTATTTGGTTCACTTATTCAGGGGAATAGCAGAATGGCATGTACCTTGTACAAAGCCCTCTGTGAACCTAATAGTGACAGTCATTATGCAGCATTGCTTTTCAAGGTGCAAAAGCTCCTTCTTCTTGGACTTGTTTTTCATGATTTTAATCACTTCTGCCATTTTTCTTTGACTCTTCCCATTTCTCTACATCCTTTTTAAAGGAATGATGGCCAAAGTTGGACTCAACATTTTCAGCCCAAATATACAGCAGTCTGACGTATTTCTAAATTCTCTACAAAAACTATTGAAAATTATATTACATATTTTTAATTATTCAAAAAACATGAAACACTTGATCAAATGTTCTCTCCTTCTTTAAAGTCATTGGTATAACACATAAAGTACATTGACCATATATTGGGGTATAAGTCCCTGTCTGTTATGACTCAATTTTAAAAATGTATATTAAGAAGCAAGGATCTTTGACAATACATATATTATGGACTGATCAAAATTAACTATGGGTCAGCAGCTGAGAAGAATGCTCTGTATGTGTAAGAGTAATGTATAGCATTGAGGAAGGACCACATCTCAATCCTGGTTGCCTAACTCTCCTTAACTACAGTTTGTCCCTAAATGTTCCTGGCACTGAAAGCCCCTACTACACTTTTTCTCCTAATGGTACCACCCTGTGTTCCCTAATTGTTTTCAGCATGTGGTCTATTGTAATCTCTAGCTCTTTTCTGCTATGCTCACTTCTCCATTTCTCTTTATCCTTCACTGGAAATTAACCCTCTGTCATTTGCTATTGAATATCATTTTATATATATATATATATATATATATATATATATATATATATATATATACACACACACCCACATATAGTTTCATATATTGAGAATATTGATATTCCCAACATCAAGGTAATTAAAAATCATATTTCCATGACTTGGAATATTCTCACCCTTACATAGTTTCATGTCTTTGGAAATTTGATGAGGTTAGTCTTTGTACTTTCACCCGAGAAATATTTTGGATGAAGTGAGTTCTGAGACCGATCTCGGTAGGTAGGATACATGGATCAGATCTAAAATTTTAGGAGTTTTACTGAGAACTCCTATGTTGTAGCCTACATAAATGTCAGAGTGATACAAAATGCAAGAATTCTCCCCCAAAGTATATTCTCAAACTTTAAAAATATCATTCAACAAAAACAAAAATGAATTCCAAAACAATGAAGAAGGCTTAGAAGGGAATCTGTGACATTTTCTGAGCATCGGATCTTTCAGTAGCAGCGGGCCCAGCTGTTTAACTGCAAGGCAAGTGTTGTGGTGCAGTGATCTCAAAGAAAGACATTGTGCCTCCAGTGTGTATCTTCCTTGGCAGGAAATAGTAGGGGAATGTGTACGTGTGTGTGTGTGTGTGTGAATGTGTATGTGTACTGTCTCTAGTGGGGGGAAACATGGAGATGTTAGACTGTGAGCCCACTGAATTTGCGCTATGATGTATACCTTTTCCAAACGGGATCTTACACTGCTCATTCTACAGATGACCACTTGATTTGGTGGGTAGCTAGTATGGTATGTTTATTTCACAGTTTCACACATTTACGGCTTTTTAAAAAATATGTAATGCTTGAACAGGGCTTCCGGGCAGATATTTCCTTTTAAACCTTTTTTTTTTAATCACAAATATAATTGAACCATACAACCACATTCCACCTCTTTTAATTCCTTCATTCCCATTAGAAACATTTTGTTAAAAGCTCAAGGGCTTCTACGCATACACATTGAATCATGAGAATTATCAAAAAGAGGAAAAGAATGAGAGCTTATGGTACAGGGGGTTATAGAAAAGAGAAGCCATGGTTTATTTCTGAAAGAAAAGATAAATGCATACATTTATTAGAAAAGGAAGCTAAAGAATTAAAGAAGGCAAGATTCTTTTAATGAAGATTGAGGCAGAACTAAAGCCTTTATCATGACACCCTGGCAAATCTCCACTTAAAAATGCTGTCGGCTAAGCTTAACCAAGGAGCAAGGATGCACATAATGTGCTTCTTGTGTTAAAGTGAGAGTGGCTGGACTTGGAAAAGATAGCTCATCTGCAGCCTGCACGTAGGTTCTGGAACAAGTCCCGCTGTTACTCAGGAAGTTCAGGACTCAGAACCAACATTCTCCTACTCATGCAGGATAAGCTACTCCAAGTAATCCAGCTAGAAGGATCGGGGTTCCGAGCAAGGCCAAGCTTACTTGTTCTAAGCCACTTGTTTCTGGGTAATGCAGTTCATGATCTAATAAGCATCGGCCCTGGTCACTAGAGCATAGGAATAAGGGCTCCTCTTGGAAAGATGCAGGAGATCTGCTGCTGGGAAAGTGGTGCTCAGTGTCAGAGAAGCAGATAGAAATGGACTCGGTTCTGCAAGTATTGATGGCAACAGTTCAAAGCAAGACTCCTTAGAATCAGCTTTTAAAAAAATCTTCCATTTCTATCCCTGATGTGGGGAAAGGGCTTTCGCATTGTTGAGGACTGGAATACGTATAGTGGTAAAATAAGACATATCAAGGGGGAATAAAGCCCCAGAGCCCTTTCAGTTTGGATTCAGGGAAATGCATTATATCTTAGAAACAAATTTATGTTTGAGATTGTTGATCCATTAATGTTTTGTTCATTTACATTTGATTTTTCAGTGGTGGAACTTATTGGAATTTGGGGACAATTCTGCTGTGGTATTAAATACTGTATTAAAAACTCATCTTAGTATTGAGTTAGTGCAGTGACTTCCAGTGAATTGACTTAGGCCCACATTTCATTTTAATCAAAAACAAAAACTAGAAAATGTTACTCCTTAAATAGGTAACAATGCATTTTACAAGCACTGTAGAGATTTAGTAAATAGCATGTATGATTAATTTAGAAACAACCACTGACACTTGAGGGTTACTCAATACATATAATAACTTCCTTTTCATTTTTTATATGAGGTAAATGCAGACCAGGGAGCCACTGAGCAAATAGTCAACTCTGAGTAGGTTTGTAATCTTAGGGTCCATGGGGATGTCTTTGGTAAAGATAAAAAGGGAATGAGTTGATGTTTCTATTACAAGACTCGGACTTCTACACAGCTTAAATAATGGTTGGGGGAATATACTTTGAGGAGGAATGCTCAAATGTTATTTTAGTCACTTGTAGTACTATTGGGTTAGCGCACACCCTTGGCTTAGAATACCATTTACATCATTTCCTTGTTCTGTTGAAGAACCATGACATGCAAACAATTCAACGTACTCTCAAAAGTACATGTAGTACGCCCAGTAAAATACATTGGCTAGCATAAAAATCAAAGGAAATAGTAATTTGGAATATCGATCAACATTACTAGGGTTTTGAATTGTGAAATAATCAACAATTCTGCCCATCTTATCTCGGAAGACAAACTTGAACTTGTCACTGGTTTTCATTGTCAAGTCACTATAGTCGACATTATCCCCGGAAATTTCAATGCTGGCAAAGCTGATCTTCCGTTTAAAGCTGGAGATGGAACTGTTGATGATGTTAGTAATATTGACTTCTTCCACTTCCTTTGCCATCCCCTAGATCATAGACAATTCAGTTAGCTTGAAAGACTTGACTTAGCAAAACAAATAGCTAGATATTTAAATACTTAGAAGCCTAAGTATTGAAAAATTAGGTTTAATAGAAAGTGGCATTGAATGTCTCAGATATAGGCCGGTGAGCCAGACTTGGCAGTCCTGTTAACCCGCTTATAGGCACCCATCCCTAGGTCATCAGCTTGTATACTGTGAAGAACAACCGTTGCCTACTATTGATATGCAGAGCTGTGTGCTAAATGCTCAGGCTTTGAAGTTAGCTGGTCTGGGTTCGAATTCCATTCTGCCTCTTGCTGTTGTGAAATCCTAGTCACCTTAATTCCTTTAAAACTTGGTTTTCTTGCCTGCAAAATGGTGATGATATCAATACCTACCTCATGAGAAGGATGGGAAGATTAAATGGTATACATTGAGTAAAGCATTTAGCAGGTGTTTGATGAATTCCGTTCTGTCCTAGTGAAGAGGAATTAACTGATTGTGAGAGATAATAGAAATTGGCAGTGTCTAAAAGTCTCTGCCACACAAACAGAAAGAGTGATGCTCCTTACAATTCCGGGGAGCTGTCATTTTCCAACATGCCTGGAATGGCATAGCACGTGGGGAGTGTGGTGAAGTTGGAGACAGCAGAGTTTGGGTCCTTGGCCAGGCTACTTACTAGCTGTGAGGTCTTAGATGAGCCATCTCACTTCTCTGAGTGGCAGAAGTCCTCAGCAGTAAATTTAGAATAACAGCGGTAGCCATCTGATAAGCTGCTGGGTGGACTAAAGGAGATGTCTAGCACACAGCAAGTACTCTGTAGTGAAGCTATTATTCTACACACAGCAAAAGAAGGGCTTTCTGGTGACTTAGGTGAAGGATTTTAGTAGTTCTCCAATCCCTTTTTGCCAATCTACCAAATCCAGATTTTTATTTATTTATTTATTTTTGGTAATTAACCATTGTCTCCTTAAAGAAGCCTACAGAGAATAAAATGAAATCCATATTCTTCTTTGGCTAGCACATAGGATCATTTGTCTCTGGTATTGGGTAATATGACTGTATGAAATTGTTCACACAAGGGAACAAGGCCACCGGGTCTTTCGGTTATTCTGCCTCTTGCTGTTGTGAAATCCTAGTCGCCTTAATTCCTTTAAAACTCGGTTTCCTTGCCTGCAAAATGGTGATGATATTAATACCTACCTCATAAGAAGGTAGGTATTAATGGTATTCCTCACCATTAGGCCCTTTGTGGTCCTGGCGCTTTGCTAAAGGTGGATATCTCTTTTGTGCTGACCCCTATCACTTTCTTGCTTATTAACATGAGCTTTAGTGTACCAGTGTTTATCAAATTGGGCTTCCAGAGACTCCCAGGGTTCCATGGGCCTTTAGTGAACAATAGTTAAGAGGTTGGCTACTGCCCACTGCAAGTGAGAATAACAGATAAGTGTCAGGCTTTGGAGCTAAGCAGATTTAGGTTCAGATCCTAGCTCTAACTCTATCTATATCCCATGGGATAAGTCACTTACCCTTCTTGTACCTCAGATTCCACAATTATAAAAATGGGGATAGCCTTACTGGATTGTTATGTGTACTTTAAATGATGTTTGCAAAGGGCTGTGACTAAGTCTGGAGCATGTAAACATTCAATTGATGATAACGGTTGTTATTATTCTGAGAGCTGGACCACAGTGTTTCACTGCTAACTCAGATAATGGCAGTCTTTCCCAGTTAGCAGAAAAATATGCTAAATTGAGAAATTTGCTGCCATTTAATTTTTTCCATACATTTTCCAGCAAACAATTACTTGTATAATTTAAGAAAATAAGAATGCAACAAAAGAATTAAATAGTAAATACATATTAATCTGAAACTTGTAAGCAGCTGATCACACTTGGTTTGATATTGGGTTTTTCATGGATGCTTGTTCTTGTGGTTGTGATTTCATGTTGCATACAGGCAACAGTTATTTTCTGCTAGCAGATTAAACATGTTAATATCCCATTGTACTTGACAAAAAGAGCAGTCTTTTTCAAAAGGTGCCATGACTTCCAGATGCCCCCACCTGAACAAGGATGACAATCGCTGGAGCAAAGTGAATCACTCGGGGATGGGAACCAATCTGGGTCATCTCTACAGATCAGCACATGGTAAGTGATGAATCATATACAGGGCCCTCAAAATTCTTACCCTATCTTTGGCTGCCATCTGCTGTAAGGAGCTGTAGTGGGCAACTGCGTATTCCAACAGGGCCCCAAACACGAAGCTAAAGCAGATCCCCAGGTACACATCGATGGCCTTTATGAAACAGTTGGTATTGGGAAGAGAAGTGCGGGACCCAATCATCAGTGTTGTCATTGACAAGACGGTGGTCACTCCTGGGAAAACAGGTGGGCAATGTTCCCACATCAGTGGCCAGTGAAACTTTCACCTTTACCTGGCAGACTGTCACCATTCAGGAGTTGGCAAAGGGGGACAGAACTCAGAAATGGAACAGCTCATTTTTGAAAAATCTGTGATCTTCTAGAACCGGATTGATTTGTCCATTTTGAATGGATATGAGTGATACGGTTTTCTAAATGTTTCACCTTCTGTCTTCCCATTGGAGGGGAGTGTTCAGTATGAAAAATAACTGGTAACAGACCATCCAATCACGATTCTCTCTTATCACTGTAAGACATGCTTTAAAAGGCACTGTCTCTCTCTTTCTCTCTGTAAAAGGTGTCTCAAGACACCAACTCCTGGGTGCCTGGGTGGCTCAGTTGGTTGAGCGACTGCCTTCGGCTCAGGTCATGATCCTGGAGTCCCAGGATCGAGTCCCGCATCAGGCTCCCTGCTCAGCAGGGAGTCTGCTTCTCCCTCTGACCCTCTTCCCTCTCGTGCTCTCTATCTCTCATTCTCTCTCTCTCAAATAAATAAATAAAATCTTAAAAAAAAAAAGACACCAACTCCTGGAACTGCCCTCTGAATATCAGTGAAAAAAAACAAACAAACAAATAATTGGTAGAAGGTAAAAAGAAACAAAAATGATCTGTAACCCCAGTTCTTAGAAGTCTCCTGTTGGAGCTGCTTACCAATGCAGGTTCTTGCAGGAACTGAATCGAGGGAAATCCAAAACGAAACCCAAGATAGCACCACCAGAAAAGTGGAAGGAACATAGGTTTCCAAAATGAAATACAGGACATTTCTCCGAAGCTCAAATTGCAAGACCAGTCGTGTATAATTTCCTGATAGGGTAAAGAAGAGATAGGAAATCATGTCTCCTCGCGCAGCAGAGTGCTTTCCCTATGGGACGTTTAATTAGCTATATTCACATTAAGTTATCTGTTATTCACCAAAACCTGGTTAAGCATGAGCTGTCATTATAGTTTCAATGAGAGAAAGTGCTGTTGTATAAAATGAGATGTAGAGGGGTGCATGTACCCCCACCCATGATCCTGAGCATGAAGCCGGTAAGAGTGCCAGGCCCAAATCCTCCTGCCCTAGCGCACTGTGGAGAGGTTCCTGGGCCCCAAAGAGATAAAGTGGAAAAGAGATGGTATTTCTGACTCAGAATGCAACCCACTTATGGTGCTTTGTGCAATGCGTCTCACAAGTCACCTGTTTCCTGTTGCGACCTGGTGACTAAGGTGAAATACCGTTGTATGGTGTACTGAGCAAGCCGCAGGTTTTCCAGCCCACGTACAGAGTCATTCCCTCTCAGCCAGCTGAACTCCACGTCGTTTCCATCATAGCCCCCTGGCAAGGAAAACAGTGCTCTGGTCAGTGCAAGAAGGTAGCAGATTGAACTGGTCTGGAGAATACTACCATGTGGGGGCAGCAGGAGCTCTGTCTTGATGGTGATCCCATGCACAACTTGGCATGATTTCTCACGTGCAATTGCAGTGTCTCCTCAGAACAGGACGACCTGCTAGGGCTGTTTGCCATCAATCGAAAACCGGTTCTGTGCTAAGTATCACATAGACTTGGTAGGTGATAGGTCTCCAGAAGTAGCCGCCCTCATTATTTAAATGATATTTATTGAACTCCTATCTGTGAACACACACAGCCCCACGCTCCATAGTGCTTTTCAGGACAGTCTAGCATCTCTGGCAGTGTTCTTAGCGACTTTACAGTTGGCCTGTTCACATTTCCATGATGGCTTAAATGCAAACACAACGACGGAAAACAAGAAACCTGCAGCCAGCCCCTTTATTGATGTCTGTTAACTTAGGCGTTTGATAAATCTCAAAGCAGTTTTACTAATATAGTTCATAATAGTAATAATAGCTACCTGTTATGAAACATTTATGGTAGGCCTTTTATACATTACATCTCTAATGTTCTCACAAACTTGCAAGGTAGATATTTCTATATTTCTTCACTAAAAATTTTTTTCTTTACAGTTTTTGAAATTGGGATGGATCTTAGAGTTGATACATACATACATACATACATACATACATGCATACATGCATACATATGAAGTAGGGCTTACATTTTTTTCCTAAAATGTTACTTGATAAATGCTGTGCCTTCGAATTGAGGAACTGTAATATTTTGCCCATTTTATACATGAAAATTCTCAGATTCAGAGAGATTGCATAACTTCCTCAGGATAGCAAGGCAAGTTAAAAACAAAGCCAGGATTGTACCTTCAGAAAGTCTAAACCCAAAACCCATGGGTGATGATGGTGATGATAATATAGCTGTCATTCAGTGAGCAATTACATTTCTAAGTGCTTTATAACATTATCGTCTCATTTAATCCTCAAAATATCTCTTTGAGACGATAGATGAGTGGTCAATAAGCACATGAAAAGATGCCTGACCATTACCCATTAGGGATAAGCAAATCAAAATCACAGTAAGATACCACTTCACACCCGTAAGAATGGCTGTCATGAAAAGACAGACAATAACCAATGATGAGAATGTGGAGAAACTGGAACATTGCCAGGGGGAATGTGAAATGGTACAACTACTTTGGAAAACAGGTTGGCAGTTTCTTGAGAACTTGAATACAAATTTACCATTTGATCCACCATTCCACTTCCAAGTATCTGCCTGAGAGAAATCAAATCACGTCCACAAAAAAACTTGTACACAAATGTTCACAGTGGCATTATTCTTAATAACTACAGGGTGGAAACAAGCCAAAGGGAGGTGTATTCTTTCATATGGAATCACGAGGAATAAGGCAATAAAAAGGAACAAAGCACTGATACAGGCTCCAACATGTATGAGCCTCAAAAACATGCTAAGTGAAGGGAGCCAGATGCAAAAGACCACATGTTGTATTGCTTCCTTTTATATGAAATATCCAGAAAAAGCAAGCTCATAGAGACAGAAAGTAGATTAATGGTTGCCTGGGGGCTGGTGGTGGCAACGGGAGACACTGTAAATGGGCATAAGGGATCTTTTTGGTTGATGGAAAAGTTCTAACCATGAAATGTGGCCATGGTTGCACTACCTGGCAAATTGACTAAAAATATTTGAATTGACACTTGAAAGGGCTGAATTTTATGGCACATACATTTTACCTCAATAAAGCTGTTAAAAAAAATAACTCTTTGAATCAGATACTATTATTTTTCCTTCTTGACTGATGAGGAAAGTGGGGTCTGGAGAGGTTAGTTCTAGTCTCTCAAAGCCACCAAAGCTAGTGACAGGGAAACCCACTCATCCCTGAGCCTGTGATCTTAAACGTGCAACTGTATTGCCTTCACTTTCCCAGGCTACTGGGAGATGGGGCCCAGCGTCAGGACTAACGTTCTGTTAAGTCTTAGCTTGTGGTACGCACTGTTTAGCAGAGGTTATTTTCCCTCCACTGGGCAGAGAAGTAGTCCTGAGCTCTTAGAGGCTTTCCAGGTAAAAATTGCCTATGGGCTTTCTCTCAGAAGTACCCCAAAATATACTGTCCAAATAGGCCTAGGATCCCCAAGAAATAAAAAAAGAATACCTAAACAAGTGAGTTGTACAAGCTTCTACTTGGACACTTTACTTTTAGAACTATTAAATGCTCGCAATCATTACATTATCATGGCTCTTGTGGGATGCTAGGAAATCTTTCCTAGGGATGGTGTTCAGGAAAAAAAACAACAAAAAAAACCCTTGGTGAAGTTTCTGTACCCAAATAACTGCTAATAAACACTCAGTGAAAACTTCCTCTGCTCACTGGGGATGGTACTCTGTGCAAGCCGAGTGCTGAAGTTTCCGGGAGAATCTCACTCGTGGGATTTGAGATGAGCAGAGCCACACATGGAGGGCCATTACTTTTTCCATGTGGGGCTGAAAATGAGTTCTCTTTTTGATAACCTCAAGTTTTATTCTGCCCCCAAATAGTTGCATTGCTCTAAGGAGGTTTTGCATGCATTTAATCAATAGAGTAATTAATCTGCCTGTCTGAGTCTTTAATTAAATGTCTACCTCTGAAAAATGACTGTCACCTCATAATGGTTGTGCTTCTTGGACATCGACCACTTGAGTCCTCCTGTCAGGAGCTGATCTCCAGGGCTTGACTATGGTTTTTCCTCCTCGTACAAACCATCCCTTGGTGCCTTAGTGACTCCCATCTGAGGCATCGCTTCCCCGGGACACCTGTCACAGGTAGCACTTTCCCAAGTTTGGTGGGCATTTCAGAACAATGGCGATTACTCAACAATGCCGTTTGACACACGTCAACTTAGAATAAAATGCTCATTCCTCATCATGAGTCCTCAGACTGCAGTTTAGATGCCCCCTCCCGACATCATTGTGTGAAGCTATGTAGATACACCAAACAACTTCTTTTCAAAGTTGGAAGTGGTTGTGCAATCAGTGTCAATGATTGCTTTGAGTCCTTTACCATTTTTAACCTCTGCTGTGTTCTTTCTGGCTTCCGTGCCTTCTCTGACTCTGAGTCCCACTCCTTGTCCTATAGACCCCCGTGTCCCTGGCTGTCCTGTCTGCTCTTAGGTAGAATATTTAGTGCCGATGCACAGTGGTCCTCCCCCAAAAGATGTAATGTCGGAAGGGTTGTCTTTAAGAGGTCTCCAAATCTCTCTGGACAAACACTCAGAAGGGCTGAATCAATTGGAATCAACACCAAGAAAAGAAAGGCTGCTATGTCTTTCTTCATGAATACACTGATCTAAGTCAAGTCACCCAGGAAAGTCATCTCAGGGGCCTGCAGAATATATACTCACAGCTTTCCAGTTGCAACTTGCATGTCTGTGTGTCCATGGGGTATTTCGACAGGTCCATGTTACACGCAACAGTCGTTGTGATTCTAAGAAAGGAAAAATGGGTTCAAAAGGAGTGATATGGGGGAAATGATACATTCCCTTTTAAGGGCCACTCCAACAGGACTTTTACCTTGACTCTTACAGTGAATGTGTGACTTGGAGCCTACACTCAAAACATTCCTGAGGTTTTCTGTGCTAAGAAACACCTTTGAGATGTGGTCAAAGCTGGGGTCCAGAATGGAGGAAGCTGGAATGTGGGCAACGAAGAGGCAAACTTGCAACAACATCGCAGAAGAAAATCACTCATTGGCTTGAGATGCTCTTGCATCAGTTTTAAAATTTAATCTCCATGACAAACCCACAAGGAGCTAGAACAGAGAACACTGTCACTACTGGCCTCATGTGACAACAGACTCAGGAGCTTGCCTCAGCTCACAGAGCTCTTAGTGGCAGACCTGGGGCTGGAGCCCACGTCTCCTGGCTGGGCAGTTCTCAAGGACCCTGTCTCCTGCGGGGGATCAGCATTCTCGGAGGAAGTAGAGGACGTTGGAGGGCACCGTGGCTTTTGGGGACCGACACCCAGAGACATTCACTTAAATATCAGTAAAGCCCTCACTGTGGAGATTTCAATCGGCCGAACTCTATCTTCCTTTTTTTTCAGTGTCACATATTTTTATTAAGCACCCTCATTTATTAAAGCGCCGTGCTGGGTTCTTGGGGGAAAGTGAAATGATGCGTGCATGGTGCCCACCTCGAGGAAGCTCACATTCATTTCAGGAAGACAGAGAGTGACAACAGCTACTATTCACTGAGTGCTTACCCCAAGCCAGTCCCAGGCCAAAGTGCGTCTCATGCATCATCCCTTTGAATTTTTACAACAACTTTATGAGGTAGGACATATTATTCTCCTTTTGCTGCTGAGGAAACAGAGGTTCAGAGAGTCCAGCAACTTCCACAAGGTCACAGAGCAGGGACAGAACAGGGACTTGCCCCTAAATGTGTCTGATTCTAGAGCCAGGCTGTTAACAGTCATCATCCATAATCCTTGCACAGGACAGATTGTATTATGTGCATAATACAGACAGAAGACAGACATATATATGCACAGGAAGGGGGACATTAATGTTGATTGGAGTTGGGGGTCAAGGGAGAAGTCTAGTTTGGCTTCTTGAAGGAAGGGTTGGGGCTTTGGCTGGATTTTGCAAAATTCAGTGTAGCTGAGGAATGCCAGATGAACAATTCAAAAATTCAGTTTATTGGATAGCTCAGGCTTTGTTGCATAATGTCAGCCTCCTACTTGGGATCTAAGATAAGTCCCATGAGTATTTGGTTCCTAGCCTTCTCCCCAAGGACCGTGGGAGCATAAGGTTTGCTTGGTCCTTGCACATCCCTTGTACAGGCAGTGATGAGCCTCTGCCTGTGGGCTGCTTCCTGCAGCATCTCGGGGGCACCTTGCCTATTCTAGGCAGCAAGCCCTTTGATGCATAACTGGGTGGAAGGAACTTTTGGCCTCAGGGATTTGGGAAAGGGACAGAGGGGAGCCCATGGCTCCAGATGGCAGAGGCCTTGGGGCCACTGCACTTGGCTTCTCTGTAGAAAAATGACTCAGACAAATAAAGATGCATTCTGGGACAACCCTACCTCCCCTGAGCCCCACGAAAAGAAAATTCCTGACGTAGACCTGCCTCTCTGTCACTCTTGCTATTGCCCTTATTCCCTTGCTAGCTTTTTTTTTTTTTTTAAACTCTTGAAGACTCCGTTCAGAGTTCTATGAAAGCTTCCTCTAGCATCACCACAAACCGCTAACTTACTCCCCAACTCGGAGCCCCCCAGGGATTCTGGACTTCCTTTGCTTATCCATCTGCATCAAGACAATGTCTCATTTGGCTCTGTATTCTAAGTGTTCATTGTGGGGTCTGGCACAGAGCAGACATTCAGTGGCTGCTTGTTGAGTCAAACTGAGCTGAAGGAGGGCTCTTCTACTACTGGGACAAGAATCTAGGAAGGCAGGAGCATGAGAAGGGCAGGACCTCAGCGTGCTTATTTGAGTGCTGGTCAGAACTACCCAGGGTATATTTCATGCCTTTTCTTCCAGCTATTTCCCCATTCAGCCCTGAGGTGGTAGGGACCCAATCACCTGAGAGCATATAGGACTGTGCCATTGGAGAAGAGGCGGATGAGCCTGTTTCCCACAGTGACTTCGTGGAGGAAGGACTTCTTGGATTCCACAATGTAAGTGTCTGGCACCCAGAGGAACTCCACGAGGCGTGCATCCAGAGTGAAGCTCTTGTTGCCTTCAAAAACCAGCCGCTGGTCCGTCCAGCGCTGTCTGAGGTATATGGTGGCCGTGTAGTCCTGAGGGGGAAGCCAGGTAGTGGAAACGGATGGAAGGGGGAGGGGGAGGGAAAGAGTTTGAAAATGGAAGGAAAGGGGTGAAGTCTTACTCCCCTTCCCACCTCTACTTAGGTCAAGAGTACAGACTATAATAGACATTGGTGAACAGTCTTATTCTTGGGGGAGGGGCCTATAGCAATAAGAGCACAAAGCACCTTATTTATTCTAGACAATAACACTCACTGCCAAAAGGGAGCCCCACAGGAGCATGTTCAGGGCCTTAACTTGCTTGTCCTCTGTCCCAAAGGCCCCACCGAGTTGTTGAAGGTTTTGGTGAGCTAAGTGCTTAGGTTGTCCAGCATTTACCCGGAATGCACAGCCGGCCCTCTTGGCAACCTGCCTTTAATGTCACTTTGTCTTTAATGAGTTCTCTTAAGTGAGAGGATGGTGGAAAGCAGTGATGTGATTGTCAGTTTTCATCAGCTTATCTTCTCTTCTGCTCTGGGAGGCTCTACATAATGTACAGGTTTCCCCACTGCATTTTCTGTCTCCCCCTGGTTTTTATCCCCACCAAATGCACCCGCTCCACTTCCTCATCTTTTCCCTCCTGGCCCTTGAATCCACTTTCCTCCTGATACTCAGAAAATCTGTTTTACAGAATCTTCCACTGTCTTGAGTTTCGGGATAGGTCTCCAGCTTCTGCCATTCCGAGTGCATGGGGGCTGTGGGTCTCTGTTCTGTTTTTGAGTAGCTAGAAAGTGCATCCCCATAAAACACAAGAAGGACACCTCAGGTGGCAGATGAAGGGGCCACACTTACCATGTTACTCTCTGAAATACTAGAAATACTTGCAATGTCCAGAGTCAGTGCTATCTGAACTGGTTCTCCTAAGAATGAAGAAAACACCAGAAGGACTTACACAGAAACACAAACACACTACATTAGCACAATGTTTTAAAAATCAGAAAACACAACAGTAACACTGGCCTATTGGAAAATTTTAGCCACTCTAGAAGTACATAAAGTGAAAGGTAAATTTCTATCCTCCCCTCGTCAGGAGGAACCACTGTGTAGAATGAAAAAAAAAGTATGAAAAATTTTTGTATAAAAAATGCACAAATATATAAATAGCTTAATATGTAAGAGAGACCACGCTGTGTTCACAAGTGCATATTTTAAAGGATGTAGTGGTATTTGTTACTTCTTACTTGGAGGATTTTTCCATTGGTACTTGCAAGAGACAAATTATTTAGAGATGTAGTACGAGATTTGGAAATTTGTGCACCGAGATCTTTTTCTCCTCCCCTCAACTAAGTAAATTTACCACAAGATGGCATTCAAGAGTGCTCATGGCTGAGCTCTTGTTCACCTCCTGACACTTTCCTCCTCTTCCTTTACTCTCCAGAAAGCCTAAACTATTTAGAATTCCAGAACCTCCCCCCTGTGAGCTGGTACACAGATATTGGGCCTCAGGCCAAACTCCTGAGAGTGCCGGTCTTAGCTCTTGAGACAGAGGTCTTGGAGCCCATTCTCAGAAGCCAGGCCAAGGCAGTCTGCTTCTCCTCAGACTGGAGATGTGAAAGAAAAGCCCAGGGGTGAGAAACATGTGAGTTCACAGCTGGGAAAAGTTACTGAATCTTTCAGAACTACCGTTTTTCTCACCTGTGAGTAGAGACAATGCTAACGGACATCATAGTGTCATGGAGAGGGTAAATGAGATTAGCAAGTGGCAGCTTCTTTGCAGGGTGGTGGCAGGAGGAAATATGTGTAAAGAAGGTGCTCAAAAATAATTATATGTACCAAGTCCCAGGACTGTGTCTGTCGCATAATAATAGAGATTCAGTAAATGGCACTTGCCTTCCCTTCCCCATCACCTCCGTAATCCTAGCTAATTCTGGAAAAGGAACAAATTTACTCACCAGGTTAATAGCTGCAATAGCTTTCACTTGCAATAAATAAGTAGGGGTGCCTCAGGGGACTGTGACAATGCATTAACCAGGAAGAGGAGAGGTGGAATTCAAAGGAAACTCAAAACCATCTACTTGGTAGGAATCGGACAAAGCAACCTAATTATTAACTGAAGGAAACCAAGCCATAGAATATAGGTAGGGATTTGGAAATGGAGCTTTAGAACCACTGCAATTAAAAATAGTTTAGCTAATACTTGGTGTTAGCATTTGATGGAAGAATGGGAGATCTTTGAGGACAGGCCCTGGAAGGTGCTGAAGGAGCATGGTGGTAAGTGGCTTTCTGCCCCTCAAGGCAGAAATTCAGAAAAGGAGCTTGGAGTCAGAGGGTTTGAATCCCACGTCCACCACTTCGTAGCTGGGTGACCTCGAGCAAATTGCTAAAGTTTTCTGTGCTACAGTTTCTCACCTGCGAAAGAGAATTACTCGTGCCTACTCTTGAGGGTTGGGTTGGGAAGGTTACAGGATCTCTTTTTAAGTGTCTGGAGCACAGTGGGCAGTGGATCAGTGTCATTTGCTCCCTGAGGAACATGGAGAACAGAACACGCACAAAAGTTCCACTCCGCTGTGCTTTCTGTTTCCTTTGTTTCCAGATAGCCCAGTCCAGGCCTTGCTTCACCTGGCTTCTTTATGGACCAGAACTTGCTTTCTTCCCCTTGAGTTATAAGAGTGAGCTGTGCCACCAGAGGGCAGCTTCCTCCTAGCAAAGAGGTCAACGCTAGTTCCTGGACAGTGTTCCTAGGGCCAGCTTACAAACCTGTGCTCTGGCTACCTCATTCCCTGAAAAACCTTATGGAGGTCTTGTCTCTTAAGGACCTCAGGGATCTAGAACCCAGGTGGATAGACATTATAGAGAACACGGTCCCTCCATGGAACACCAGGCTGCCACATACATGTAGCTTCCTTTAGAAGACAGATTGCCAAGGTATTGGGGCCTGTGCCCTTCCCCTCTTTTTGACGAAAGCACCCCTTGCCCCCTTTTCAGCCCAGGTGGATCTGGGCTTCACACTCCTTGGGTCCACCCCAGGTTCGGAATGGGCACTTTGCCCAAGAACCTTGCCTCTTGTCGGCCTGTGAGCAGGCAACAAGAAGGACAGTATCCTGGCCTAATTGTTTGGGGTTTGGGAGGCAGAGAAGTTGGACCTAACCAGGGTGTACAGACTCATATGCTTGTCATTAGTGTTCAGCTGGGCCTGGGAAGACCAGGGGAGCTTGAAGCCTTCCTAGGTTTGTTAACTTAAGGACCTCAACTCTTTACTGTGTGGCCATGAAGATGGTCTTGCTGATCTCCAACTGAAGTGGGTGTAATTGGCCCAGCTGCTGTGCTCTGAAATCCTTTACCACACTTGCTCTGAGGCCATGCTTCCCACAGGCTGCACCCCACCAATGACTGAGTGTGGCGGGGATACTTAGGCACACTGTGCCTGGAAGGCACGGAGACGGGAGACCCCTCTGATGGGAACTTGGGCTCAAGGTCTCCCTGAGGGCCTTTCCAAACACACAGAGAACTGCACCATAGTCGAAGACACCTCTGCCCAACCTTCCTGTCCTCCCTCTCTCCTTCCGCCACGGTCAGCTTTCCTCTCTTCCCACCCCACGTCCTGTCATAGATATTGCCCCAATAAATATCTTGCATGGATAATCACCTTTTGGTGTCTGCTCCTCAGAGGACCTGGACTAACCCACTAATACTAGATTTGATCAGAGAATTTTATCATGTGAGGGGAGGAGCAAGAAGGAAGGAAAGGGATTAAAATAGACCCATGCACCCTGATGATGTGGCAGGCGCCATGCTTCATGTTGACACACTCCATCTCAATCAGTCCCCTTTATGAGGTGGAAGATATATCCCCATTTCACAGAAAGGGGGCTTAGAAAGCCAAGGTGCTTGGCAAGCAGTAGAGACGCCACTTTCTGCTCTATGTAAGGAAACGCTAGAATCCACTTTGGTTGATCTTACATTTGAGACTGAGACCCTCTGAGGAGGTATGGGATTCGTCTCATTCCCTCCCTCCTTGCCTCATTCCGTCACCAAATACCAATTGACAGCTTGTTATATGCCAAGTGCTGAGCTGCTGCTGGGGTTAGTGAGGTAAATAAAGCAAGACTCCCTCACGGGGCTGCAGGCTGAAGCTGAGACGGCAATGATGGTATTGCCCTGTAATGGCTATGATTCGGAAGTATAAGTATGGAGAATGGGGACGGGGCCTAAAGGAATCAGGGCGGGCTTCTCAGAGGAGGAAGCCTTTGATTTCAGACTTGAAAAATTGGCATTTTGCCAGGGAGTCAAGTTGAAGGAAGCCATTCTCAGCAGATAAACTGTCTCAGCAAAGGCATGGAGACCAGGGAAGCCAAGGGGGTCAGGGAGAGTTTGGGGCACTCTCCTGGCAGGGCAGAGTGGGAGGAGTTGGGGCTGGCAAGACTGGCAGACAGATAGAGGCCGGGCTGGGAAGGCCTGATGTGCCAAGGGGCTCTGGACTCTATGCTGAGGATGGTGGGACATAGGCAGGTATTCCGAGCAGGCAAAGGGCCCAGGCAGGTCATCCAGGTGGCACAGTTGGGGGTTAGCCTTGAGTGACCAGGCTGAAAGCTGGAAGGCTAGCTGGTGTGGTCCTGGCGAGTTCCTTAAATAATGACACTGGAAGTGGGGGCAGAAGGAAGACAGTGTGTAAGAGGTTGTTAGAGGCTCTGGTGACCTCCTCAGAAGGGAAGGGGATTTCTTTATCCTGCAGGTTGAGAGGCAAAGCACATTCTTCAGAGTAGTGTGAAAACCACTGGCTGTCCTCGACCATCATTGCTCATCCTTAACTGGTTGCAGACCAGAAAATGGAGTCAACTAAAATCTCCCGAAACCCTCCTCTGCATATTGCCTCTGTTCTTGTCCTTTTGAATTGATGTCCTGGACAAAAAAGATGACCTACCGCCAAAATTGGGCCTGAGAAATTTGTTATATCCTGCTGTGAGATTCTCAAAGCCAGGCAGGGAGAGCTTGTCACTTCTGCTGGCCTCGATGTTGAACTGATTCCCCTGGATACATATCCTGGAAAAGAAAATGGGTATCGGTGCATGTGCTTATTTAGGTGTGAATACACATGGATACACATAAACTTGAGCTTGTGTTTGCACGTATGTGTGTATGTTGTGCCCATGTACTAGCACTAGGTGACTTTTCTAGAGAGAAATCTCTGATTTTCAGCTGCTGAGTTAATATGTCCCTATCCCACTCCATTTTATTACCCATTTGCCATACATCAGAATGTTGAGGTAATTTGGGAAACCCTTCAAGGGTCTTTAGAAAAAACACAAGGGGTTCATCCATCTATGACCATTTTGGAAGCTTGCATTCTCCAGATAGAATATACGGCAGGAAGTTGTGTTGTCAGGATGTATGAGGGAGGTGGATGGATAGGCTTTCTCTTGGCATTGGTTAAGTAGGAGGACCCGCGCCCACTTCCTACTTCATGCATATATGCAAAGCAATTCCGACCAAGGTCATTGTGAGGCAGCAAACTCACCTTGGAGTGAAGAGACTCAGACACATGAAGGTCAAATGGAGACTGTATTTCATGTTGATGAGGTGCTCACACAGAGAGGGACCAAAGCAGAAATCGCCTGGGGAAACAAGGTGGGAGAGGTGACCCAAAGGGCTCACCTCTTCCAAGCCCATCTCCATCCTGTGGGTCATCAGCCGCAGTACTTTCTCAGAATGTGTGGGGGGCAGTGTCTTTCCACACCATTTGGTTATAGCTCCTATTGCCTGCATGACTTCATTTTGGAGGATCACATTTTAAATCCAACCCAAATAAAGGCTGACACCTCGTTTAGAGAGTGGCCCACCAGCACCAGAAATGCAGCCAGTTCATCCTGGGCTGTGTATTTGGAAAGCCCCAAGACTGTCCTTTCCCTGTCCTTATCCTGACTTTGCCAGGAATGATACCCCCAACTAGGCACTCACCCTGATAATGCCATTTGTCCAAGGGTCTGGGCCTGTCATGACCGAAGCAGGTCATGTAGACAGGAAATGAAAACTTCCCGATAATAAACAAACAAACTTCCCAAGAACCTTCCATGTGCCAAGGAATACATTAGATACTTTCTCACAGATCTCCTCACTCCATTGTCACCGTGCCTTTGTGAGGTGGGTGGGTTAATCCCGTATTGCGATGAGGAAACAGAGGCTCACAGAAAGGTCACTGTGCTAGTGAGTATCAGAGGAGACTTTGAGCCCGGGGCTGGCAGTCTTGCACCCATGATGTTCGCTGTTCTCCCAGCCTCCCAGACCTGCTCCCTGGGTGCTCTGAAGCCATTCAGCCAGTTGGGTGAGTGAGCGTTGTGTATGCGTGAGGATGGTCAGGGAAGACATGGCCCAGGGGCCTGGTCTCCTCAGGCTTGGGAGCTCCTGTCAGGTGGTCATCCTGAGAGAGTAGCCAGCAGCCAGGCAGGTGAGCCTGTGACCTATCATGCTGGTGACAGCAGAGTGGGGGTTCTTGGGTGTGGTTCAGGCCCTGTGCCGAGGCAGGCAGTCTCAGGGAGGGTCGCCCTTCCTCTGTGGCAACCTCTGTGAACCGGGCCACTTTCAAGAGTCTAGCCATTCTGGGGCTTAAGGTGCCATTTAGCCACTAATCAACTAATATTAATTTTACCTAGAAAACAAATACATGCTCATTGTAGAAATGAAAGCAAGGTAGAAGTGTATAATTAAAAGAGTAAGTCCCAATGACGTGTCAATGTAGGTTCATCAATTTAACAAATGTACCACTCTGGTGGGGGATGTGATAGTGGGGAAGGCTGTGCATGGGGTGGGGTGGGGAGGCTCAATTTTGCTGTGAGCCCCAAATATCCCTAAAAATAGAAAGTGTAAAAAGAGCACCCCTCCCTCACGTTTCTCTAGGCTGACGCCTCAATCAGTTGTCTCTTAACAGTTGGGTATTCTATGCATATATTATTGTATATTTATATGCATGCATATCTGCATGAAGAAAAAAATTAAAAAGTAAAGTTGGGGTGATAGTAATGCATCTTTTGCTATTTACTTTTTTGCTTAATAACGATAGCCAACATTTCTTAAATACTTAATGCATGCTTGCACTCTGCTGAGAACCTCAGAAACCCTTACAACAGCTCATTGAGGTAATTACTACCGTTCTCCTCATTCTACAAATGAAAAAACTGAGGCTTCGAGAGGATAAGAAACAGTCCCAAGGTTGTAGAGCCCATGAATCCAGGCAAGCTCACCCCATCACTTCTAACCCCTGCCCTGTGACACACGCTCTTCTTCAATGCCAGTTTTTTAGTTCCTACGGATCTGCCTCATTCTTTCTAGTGGCTCAAGGTATTTCATCAGATCAATATATCAACATTTATACAACACATGTTCTGCGTATGGTACTAAGTTATTGCCACATTTTTTACTGTTACAAAACCAGTGATGACCATCTTTCCACAAATGTAAGCTCCTGGAACTCTGCGCTCTGTCATATTTCTCTGCCTTAGCCCTGTCCTTCTCATCTTTTGATAAGTCAACATTGTCATTCCTCCAATGATCATATTCCAACCTTCTTCCCAGTTCATCTTCCCAGTCTCGGTCCATTCCCCTGTCCCCAGCATCAAGTTTAACAGGGTCCAGGGAGTGGCTCCCATGCCCTTCCATCCCTTCATTCAATTTTCCAAAGGCTTCACAAGCTCCTCCTGGGAATCAGACATGTATGAGGCAACACCAGAGCTCCCGTCTAGGGAGAGAGAGGACTGTAAGCAATGAAGTGACACAGCGTTCCCTGTGACTGTCCTATGACAGGGGCTGAGGCAAAGGGATACATGGTGTGCAAAGGAAGCAAGTGGTCAACTCCATGGGGGAGGGGTGGGACGGTCTCAGGATGGAAGTCATAGAGAAGTTCATTAGATTCTTGAAGAAAGTGTTTGCATTTGCCAGGTGAACAAAGGAAGGTTGGGCCCTCGGGATGCTGGGCAAAGATAGGGAGACTTGCCCACCAACACTGTCTTACCCACTTATTCTCTGTTTCTCCCCTCTAGCCCATGGCCATCTGTGACTTCTTCCTAGTCTGTTCTGAATTAGCTTCATTCTCATTTTGGGATATTTCTAAATTCTTCCTCCTCCTATAGGAAATTGAATTTTATCAGGCAAGTTGGAGAACAATCTAGCTTTAGCTCCAAGACTCCTATCAAATCACGTTTCCCCATGTTAGGGCCCTATTGAATCACGTTTCGCTGTGTTAGGGGCCTGGGCCTCTGAATCTGCTCCAAGGAATCTCGTGTCTGAAAAACTTTGCCCACACCAGACCTGGAAAAATGACCACACGTGACCCTGCTCGCTCTGGTCAGGTTGTTGAGCATGTCTCATTTTAGTAAGGAAGAAAAAAGAAGAAGAGGGAGCCCCCTAGGTGCCCCCTTGGTGCTGTGCTTTGTGCTTAATCGCATTTAATTCTCATGACCATTGGGCTCAGTAGGTGTGAATTTCTAGAATCTCAGATTGGTAAAGGGATTTGGCCACAGCCACAGAGCAATTAAGTGTCATGATTTGAATCCAGGCCTTCCAGGTCCCTGTTCTTTGCATTGCATCTAGGAAGAGGGCCCCAGCTCCCAAAGTGAATGGGATTCCACTTGACTCTGGTCCTTCTTACACCAGCCCACCTCTGGGATAGAGTGCTGCATCCACACTATGTCCCAAGTGGCAACTGCACTGAGGTCTTCACCCCACACGGCAGAGAAACCAACCATCAAGTGATGACTTGTGTATCTGCCTGCCTGGATGAAGGCTCCGGCCACCAGTGCTGATACAGACACTGGGAATGGCATTTGGCAGAGCCATGCACTGAGCCACCAGAGGGGAGTGCCCTGAGGGTTGTCCCCACAGCTCTAGGGGACCTGGAGATTTCCAGCTGCATCTAGCCCTTCCCACCTGCAGGAAACACAGTACTCAGGTCTCGAGAGGCTCCTGAGTAGGGGCAGCCTAGGAACTTTTACCCTACTCTGCGGGGTTCTCTGCCAAGATCCCGCCTCTACTAGTAGAAAAGCATGAGGTTTGGGTCAACACACCTGAGTCAGTTAACCTTTCGGAGTCTGGGCTTTCCTATCTGGAAATGGGAACAGAAAGCACTCAATAAATATTAATTTTCATTCTCCTCCCCCTTCGACGTCTTCTATGGGGACTTCAGTGATCCCACTCTGACCAGGAGAGCCCAAAGCTCAAGCTCTTCCTATACCCCTACGTGGCCACCCAGGGTAGGAGCTGACTGTAGTGTCCTTTTGAGGGAACTCATTTTGGCATCACCTCAGGAAGGACAGGGTCACCAGTATCACCCAGGTGGCAGATGGCAGCCTTTTCTGGATCGGCTCTGAGAAGCAGAGGTAATTCCAATAAGCGCACATTTCCGCTCCCATTCCCAGAATCTCCATTACATAGACAGTGAACCCCAAGCATTTCATGCTCTAGCCTCCTTCCCACTCAGGCAGAGTTCCCTGGCTTCTGTCACTTCCACATAGACAGAATCATTTGTTGGGAAGCAGGAGTGGAGCCCAAGTTAGGTCGAGGCGAGGAAAAACATTATTGCCATGGGAACCTCCTTACAAAAATCACAGCAGGTGAAGTTGTGGGGTGTGGGGGCCCTGGTGGGCAGTGCAGAGAGGAAGGAGCACCTGCGGCTCTCGGTCAGACAGGAGGAGCTCTAATCTCAACTCTGCCTCTGATTCTGAAATAGTGTTATTTCTCCCTGAGCTTTAGCTTCCTCCACTATAAAACGGGATGGTAATCAATAGTTCTTCAGACCGTGGTGAGACCTGGTACAAGGTAGGCGCTCAGCAAATTCTAGCCCCAGCTGCCTCCCCTCACTCCCAGCAGAGTTTCTATCTGCAGTTCCTTCCCTTTCTTCCCTCCAAGTACTAGAGGGGCCGGCAGTTTTCTTACCAGGATGCCGCCGACGCTCTCTTACGGCATGACCTTCAGGCCTTCAGGCTGGGCATTTGGGCAGAACATGGTCTTCTGGGTCCCTGAGAATCTCCTCATCCTCAGCCCTGCCCTCCTGGATGCACACACACACGGCCACTCTCCGATGGAGTGGCTCTCCTCATGGGGAAGGCAGAGCTGCAAGACCGGCTAGGCAGACAAGTAGGCAGAACCTCCCACAGCTCCTCCCTCGGGTGGAGCTCTGACCTGGTCCTGGGTGTCTGTGGGAATCGCCCAGCTCCTGCTATGACTACTGGCTGCCGGGGCTTTGATTCTGAGTTGGTGTCTCACTGAGCTCCTGGACCACAGCCAGAGAAGAATCTTGAGGTCAAAGACCCATGAAAGTCAAATACAGTGGGTGACTCCCCCGCCCCCCCCCCCCCCGCACCATGCCTGGAAGACGAGTCCGGGGCTCTGAATTTTGAGGACACCTCTATCCTGGTGTCATGGAACAGGACTTAGCAGCATGTAAGACCTTGGGCAAAGCCACTTTACCTCTCTAGTCTTCAGCTTCCCATCCTGGAGCTAGAACTTGACCATTTCTAAAATTCTGATTCCTTGGGCATTTTAAGAGCACCTTCAGAATCAACAGAAAGTCTAGTCAATGTGGAAGGAGACTTGTAGATCTGAGGCCATCATGCTTTCCAGACTGGGAAGTTTTCAAAAGAGATATAGGGGCCAAGGGAATGGAGGCTGGAGGCTGAGGAGGCCAGCCCAGAAAGAAGTGGGAGGGACTTGGGGAAAAATCTGGCTAGATTTCTCGATCTCTTCGCCTTCACCATCCCTGTCCCTCACACAGAGGGTTCTTTAACTCCCTGCGAAGTCCCTTTAGGGGCATCCGTCCTCCAGAGCCAGTCAAACTTTGTAACAGAAGGGCTTCAACTGTGTGTGCAGACCCCTAAGTTCTGCCCGTCACCATAGCCAGTGGCCCCGAAACTCACTCCTGGCTCCCGCCCCACAGGAAGGCACAAGGAATTTCCTGGAGACTTGGCTTTGCACCCCGAGACAGCCAGGGGCGGGGAGTCCGATGGAGGGGCCTGGGAGAGAGCGGAGGCTGTGGCACGAAGCCCCGAGGCAGCTCCGGCCCTCCTGACGTCATGGCCAAGCCCCTGCCCAGACTCCCGGCCAGTCTTGGAGGGGAGAAGGTGGTGAGACAGGGGAGAGGGAGGACGGGGAGCCAATGAAGCTGCAAGGAACAAAAGGAGGTAGAATGGGGCGGGTGGGCGTCAGCGTGCGCTGCTCCACAGAAGCCTCGGGCTCCAAACCAGTCTCCTGAGTGCGCCCCAGAGCCTGGCCCGCCTTGCAAGCATTTCTGTGCACCTGAAGAGAAAGCTCTTTGATTTCTCCTGAGAGGCCTCCCCACTTGCACCTGGGAACCTTGAAGGCGGCGGCTGAAACAGGAATGGCTGAGGGGTTGGTTTCAGGTTCTCAATGAATGGAAACCGCTTTGTGGCTTTTCTCAGAGTTTCCAAGATGTGCTCACAGAAAACAAAGGCTCAAAAGTAACAAAGACAATACAGAGCTGGGGGTAGGGGGGTGGGCGTGGGGTGTCCTCTGACGCAGGCGCAGTGAGACTTAGATGAAAGAACACGGGCCGGCTGGGTGGCTTTTGGCAAGTTACTTAAACCTCTTTGGACTTGTTGCCTTTTCTGACAAATGGCGAGAATGACTTCTCGTAGGGTTGCTGAAGAATTCAGCAATGACAGGTGTGAGGGCGCATCTGAAACTACCTGGCACATTGTGGGTGCTCACTAAGTTGTTCTTTTTATCCTGATGTTAGTGTCTTCTCATGTTTGCACCTCTCTGTCCGATCCTCCATCCGTCTAAGTATCTATACCTATCATTAATTTATCATATTTATCATCTCTATCTTTAAAGTGAGGAGTTTCTATGGAAGCCAAGTCCTGCTCCAGTGGTCCTGGCCTTGCTTCTTGGCTCTAGAACCCCTGACAGTCTCTGCACCAACCTTCCAAGTGTGACCTCTACTCTCAGGACGCCTGAGGTCAGTGGTATTTCAGGATGTTCAGCTATGCAGACATACTGCCCATGGGTTACTCATCCGGGTGTCCACCTCCTACACCACATGGCTACACACCCTCCTAGAAGGTGTCCCAGAAAAACAAAGGCTGGAGTGAGGGAGTACACCTCGCCTGGCGCATAGATCACCATGCACACGAGATACTAATACATCATAATAATGCCATACGTATACGATCACCATGCACACGAGATACTAACACATCCTAATAATGCCACCCATCTATATGTGCTCTACAGTTTTCAGAGCCTTTCCATTTGCCTGTGTCTTGTCTTATTTGAGCCGCATTATAATCCTGGGAAGCAAGCAGGGTTTGTTTCTTTATTCTCATTTTCCAGATGGGAAAGCTGTGCCCAGAGTCAACAGCTACCACGTATGGACTGGAGACCCAGGTCTTAGGGTTTTGAGTTAGCTGCTTACCTCACAGGTCCATTCAGTGATTTGGGGTGGGGGTGGGGCAGAACGGAGGAACAGAGTCCAAGTGAAGCAGGGGACGGAGCCAGCCTTTGGATCTTCCTCTGGCCTGGGAGGCGAAGGTGGGACGAGACTACCTCGCACCTGGGCTTCCCAGGAGATGCTGCCCATCAGACTTGATACCCGCCCCCCCCAACCTGCCGTCCCCACTGGAAACTCTAGACAACCTGGATCTTCTTATTCCCTGCCCCCCATCAACACCTGACTGATCCCCATCCCAGACACCTTCTCATTTGTCTCCTCGGCATCTCCTCACCTTGGAGACTGGGGTCTCCAAAACAAGGCCTGCAAAACACCGGGCCCTGTGCAAGATGAGCCCACTGAAGTATAGGGAGAAAATATTAGAATTTCTAGGGCTTCAAACAATGGGAAAGATAACTGTATCTTCTAGTATTTACTGTGGGATGGGCACTGACCACTCACTTCTCTGTCAGTCAGACCATCTGAGGTCACATACCAAGGTCACATACCGAACAGCCCGGCCACACTGGTGTGAGACGAAGCAGGGGCTCTAAACTTGGAGGGCTTGGCACCCACTCCTTTGCTTTCTGTGTAACTTGACTTTCTGCAGGGCAGGTGGGCCAGGTTAAATGGATCTATTATTTGTTTTCACTAAATAAACCCCGAAGAAATGGACGCATGGCTTAAAAATGAGTCCCGCCAGAAGAAACTACTTCTAGCATTAATAATGCAGAGGCCAGCAGCACTTGGCCTACCTAATGCCCAACATAATTAAACATCTTCCAAATGAAGAGTTTGAGTGGTTTTCAAACCTTCTGGTGAAAACTATAAAAAACACAATTGATACGTTTGCAAGAACGATTGATGGACATCAGAGAAGATGGAAATTTACCAGCTGAATTTAAACAAAAGCCTTCGTATAATTGGTGAGAAAGACTGAAACATTAATATTTTAGTAAGCGCAGCCAATGAAGCACTTTTTTCATTTGGATGTCTGCACCTTACTGAGGTATCTTTTTTCAGCTCTGAAAGCTGTAAGAATCAACTCTCAAAATAATTTGCACTTAAAACCAGATCTTCTAAATATTGAAATGCAAAATGTTAATATGCAGATAGCACAAACCTAATTAAGCATATCAACCGCACTGCACTCACTAAAAACATTAGCATTCACAATAATTCAGTGAAAAGGTGTTTTTGTATGATTAACAAAATAAAATCATTAAAAGTAGTGTTATTTTATCCTCATTTCATCCATTTAAATTCTTCTTTCTGTCTAGGTCTTAACCGTGGTATTGTGATTTATAATACGAAATCTGTAGTTGGCCTTTGTCCTTCTGACTGGCACAGAGCTGAAACCCTGGGGGTCTTCCAGGTGAGGAGCTTGAGATAATATCTTTTGTTATGTTAATGCAGCAACTTTTGGAATGCCCCGGGTCACCTAAGGATCGGGGCTCGTGGCCAAAGGAGACCACCAGGTAATCGGAACTTTCAGTCCCACCCCCTATTTCCAGGGAGAGCAGAGGGGCTGGAGGTTGAATCAACCTCGGAGGGCTAATGACTCAATCAATCGCGTTTAAGTAACGAAGCCTCCATAAAATCCTAAAAGGACGGGGTTCGGAGAACTTCGGCATTGGGGAACATGTCGTGGGGCTGGAAGGAGAGAGGCAGGCACAGAGAGGGTGTGGTAGCTCTGCGCCCTTCCCCATCCCTTGCCCTGTGCATCTCTTCTACCTGCCTATTCCTGAGCTCTATCCCTTATAACAGACCGGGCATCTAGTAAGTAAAATATTTCTGAGCTCTGTGAGTTGTTCTAGCAAATTAATCAAACTCCAGGAGGGGGTCTTTGGAACCTTTGATCTACAGCCAGTTGGTCAGAAGCACAGGTGTCAAGCTGCACTTGTGATTGGTATCTGAATTGGGGGCGGGGGCAGTCTGGTGGGACTGAGCCCTTAACCTGTGGGACCTGATGCTCTCTCCGAGTAGATAGTGTCAGAATTGAGTTGAATTATAGGACACCCAGCTGGTGTTGGAAGATTGCTTGCTGGTGTGGGGAAAAAACCCACACATTGGAGTTGGGTTCAGAGTCATTACTTACACCCATACTGTATTAGGATGTGAGACATGTCTGTGATTTCTAAGTACATAAATACATGTATATTGAGGGTATAGAGTCAAGAAAGTATGGGAACAGTTGGGCCAGGCCAGTGAGGAAGTTCCTGGCTATTCTTTCAGTTTGCGATTATATTTTGTCTACCATGTATCACCAGGCTGATCTTCATAAAAACCCAGAGGGGATCCAATTCCTACTCTGATTTCTGCTCTCTTTCGAACCCCCTCTCCTAGAAAGAGCGGCAGCCCTGCCTGCCTTCTGGGGCTGGGCAGCTGACATGATGTAAGAAGAGGGTTGGGTGTAAGGCATGGTGGGGACCACGGCAGGCAGGAGAGTTCTCTGCCTAAAAACATTCCAATTTAAAAATCTTAAACCCCAGACAGGCGAGAGAAAACCCTGCCGTGGCCTGGATGGAACTTATGGGCTGGCATTTGTAATCCCTGAGCAGGTCAAGGCCAACCTTGGAATATGCTGTCCACCTCTCCAGACAGGTCTCTTGCTGCTTGCTCCCAAATGGATTCTACACTTTGGTCATTGCTAATTGATGC